TTTTTTGAGACAGGGTTTCTCTGTAGCTTTGGAACCTGTCCTGGAACTAGCTTGTGTAGATCAGGTTGGCCTAGAACTCAGAGATCCGCCTGCCTCTGCCTCCTGAGTGCTGGGATTAAAGGTGTGCACCACCACCGCCCAGTAAGCCCAACTTTGTTTATAAGCCTAATTAACAAAAAAATGACCTTTTTTATTTTATTTCTGTGTGTGTGCAGTTGCTCTAGGAGACCTGGAATGGGTGTCAGATCCCCTGGATTCAGAGCTCCAAGTAGTTGTGAGCAGTCCGATGTGGGTGCTCAGAATTGGATTTGGGTCCTCTGGAAGAGCAGCAAGTGCTCTAACTGCTGAGCCATCTCTCCAGCTCCTTTATTTTAGAGTTCAGAAATTTTAAATGATCCATGAAACCACTGTCTACTTAAGTGATTTTTGAAAGCATAAATAGAATAAAAATTACAACCAAATAATAAAAAGGGGGCTCTTTGTCTTGCAGTGGATTTGCATAGCTTCTATTTATGCTAATGGAAGTTAAACACCTGTTCCGAGGAGGAACAAGACCCCTATCTGTGAAAATCAATATGTGCAGCAGATTTCCAGATAAAATGCTGAAGTCAAACAAGCAAGAACGTGTGCTACACAAACACAGCATCAAGCCCGAAAACACGACTGGTTTCTGTTTGACTTCCAGAGTTACAGGCCCTGAGATAATTCAACCTGTTGATTTCTGTGAGCTCATATGCCACTCTCTATTTACCTCTTTACAAGTCCCTAATAAATTGCATCAGTAAATCTGGATTTGAGCCACAGCTATCATCGTACGAGTCACGAAGGATGATTGTCCATAATCGAGAAGGCCATGATCACTGGGACTGTGTGCTGGGACTCCCTGTCGCAGCTGGCGCCTCAGCTGGGGCACATGAAGCAGATGGAAGCAGATGGTTGTTAGCAGCTGGTGCCTTCCCACCTGGCCTAGATTGGCGTGGCCGCCAATGGTGTTCCTAGGAAGTTCCTCACCACGGGGAGCACAGTGGTGACTCACCCCACCCTGCTTCATCTGATAAAGCAGGCGTTACAGAACTCTTCGCCCCAAGACATTATACTTTAAAGTAAATTGGTTGTAGGATGGAAATGAGGTTGCGGGCAGGCGTCACAGAACACTACCTTGTCTGAAGCCCTTGAAGGGTTGTCATCTAGAATCTTCTAATGTAAGACATGAGCGGTAGGATTATACAGCCTGCACTCTCTTTTACCACGTTTCTAGAGATCCCCCACCCCCCCAATGATCTAAGTGAGAGACAAATCTTTTATTTCTGATTTGTCTGATGGTCAGTTTTCTCGGGAACAGAACAGACTACATAACATTCAGGGCCCGTCACAAAACGACACTTTGCTGACAAGTTTCTTTCCCAGCTGCAAGACAATGACAATAGAGCATTCAACTGAGCTGGAGCTCTGAAGCGCAGGACTCTGAGGCTGCGCGAGTCCCACACCAGTGTAGCAGCTGCACGGCAGAACAAGATCTTCACACAAGCTAGCAGCTGCCTTCCCTTCTCCAGTCTCAGAGGTCTGGGGCAAACCAACCGTGGAGAAGGATGCGAGAGGGCTTCTCGCAGACAGACACCTCTTCCGTTCACAAGGCAAACTGATCAGCATGGAGGATTCTGGAAACTACCATTCACATTCTTGCACAGACTGCATCTTAAGAGTTATCTAGAAGTGTTTTATCTTTTTCCATCAAGGCTTTCCAAATGCCAGCATGACCCTGGTGAGGAATTCAGCTTTAATGAGGACCAGAGGACTGATTTTGAATGCTGATCATGGTACTACAACCTACTGACAATTGGTTCTCAATGCCATGTATTTTACTTCTTCCTCTATATTTTTTCTATTTAAATTGCTTCCTGCTTAGGCTCTTTTCCCCTCATCAGCTATGTACCAGCTTTGTATTTGACCTCTAATTCTCAGCTGGCTGGCTAGTCTGGAAAGCACCCCAGATGGCTCTCTGCAGTGGAGGAGAGTGAGGAGGCTGGAAGGGGCCTGTTTGGAGGCATCCCTTAAATACAGCGATGCTCGGTCAGTTCCAGGCTAAGGGATGGTGTCACAGTTATTACGACAATGGCAGAAGCTGCCTAGGAGAAATCTACTATTTCTAGAAAGTGGGCTTCAGCTAAGCCTCAACTGTAAGATGCCATCTTTCCCGTCAGTCCATGGTGCCTCAACAGTGGTGGTCTCCAAAGGTTTAAAGCAAGCTTACAGAGGACAGAAAGGAGGGAGAGAAATGACCCTTCACCTTAGAAAAAATATGAGATACTTTACAGAAACACTTAGGAAAAATGATAGTTAGTCTAAATGACGTTGTTAAGTCTGAGCTAACCACTGCTTTGTGTATGATCAGACAATACAGAAAGAATCATTCAAGTGTTGAAGCCTAGCCTGGTTTTCACTCATTCAGAGAAGGGCTGAAAGACTGTAACATTACCTACACTCACTATAATGGTCACTATATTCCTCTCCTAGTAGTGAATTTGTAAGGATAAACAACCCTACAAATTGTTTGGCCTATTATATGTCGCAGGGATTTTTCTATAGCCTGTCTAGACTCCAGACAATAGGCAAGACTGGCCTATAGCTGCAGACATTTCTTCAGTCTGTAATATCACTTAGAAAAGCAAGGGCAATAATACAAAAATGAAAACCAGCCTGCCCTGCAGTGTGATAGGAGACACAGGAGCATAGCAACAGTTCACAAGTTAGAGACGATGACAGTGGCCTAGAAGGAGTTGGGCAGCCATATCAGCTGAAGCAACTTCTGTAAAATCACACACACTCCCCAGACTGAGTCATAGTTTAGTCATTCTAGTCACAAACTATCAATAGATCTTACTGCAGAAAATGATGGCTATGTTACTGTTTTTTTTCCTTTGGGATGTATCTACCACCTATGTAATATTTCTGTACGTGTGGACGTCTTTCAGGAGTCCTTTATAAAATGAACCAGATCACTGGGCTAGCTAGCACACAGGACTAAAATAGCTAGTGTACCCCCTAAAAAGAGCATCGCGCATTTGAAGGAGACAAAGAGTTTTAACATTTCATCTCTATTCTGCTGTTTCTGCACCTTTTTCCACCTTTATTTTTCTCCCCAAATAACAGTTGTTATTAAGAAAGAAAAAAAAAAGAAAAACAAAAAAGAAAAGCATGCAATTAGGAGAGAAAAATAAGCCTTGTTTAAATTTTCCTTTACTTGCTTCTTTATGTTTTAGGAAACAGGTCAACAAATATTTGTTTTGTTGCTCTGTCTTAGGTGAAGACCGTGAAAAAGCACATCCAACATAAAGAATCCTCATTGCAGAAAATATGACTAGGAAACCATGGGTAATAAATATTTCTGACTCGAAGATCAGTCTCTTTCCCAGACTCCAAGCTGCGGGGCGCCTGGCCATCTGGATCTTCACCATGCAGACCCGTGCTGATAGGCTCTGCCATTTTGGAAGTTTTAACTTGTAGCAATCAGGAGTACCCATGGCAGGGACAAGAGACAAGAGATTCTCAACTGTTTTACTTGGCCTTTCGCATGCTAGGATAGAAAGCCCCATTGCTAACCTCATGCAGTTTCTGTCCCAGCTGAAATCTGAAAATGCCATCTGGCTTCCTTCAGCATAATCAACTGTAGAGCACGATGCACCACGTTATATAATGTGCCACCCAAAGTGCCTCTGCTGCGATTGCCAAAGTCCCAGCAAGCCGACGGATGGAACTGTGCAACCCTTTCTCACTCTGATCGGCTAAGCTAGTCCACCAGCTAGTCACAGAGGACTTCCCAGCCTCAGACTCTCTGCCTACAAATGTGGGCTATTTTCTCTCTGGAATGCAAATGTTAGATTCAAATTATGCCTATGTAACTTTATACAATTGCTTGTTTTTCCTGTATTGTTTTTTTGTCTTTAAGGGAAAACAAAAATATAACCCTTAACCTCACCAGAAATCAAGTTTTTCCAACTCTTTCTTAAGAAGTAAAAGAAAACATTATATATATGTGTGTGTATATATGTATACATAATGTATATATATATATATATATAATAGAAAAGTAAAGATAGGCCACAAATTCAATTTTTTTGTAAGAGATGCATTATTTTTCACAATGATACAGCCCATGATAGTTACTTACTTTACATGTCATACAATACGACATACCAAAATCTCACATGGTAATGTCAAAAATGGTATAAAATTTTATTAATCTCAGCCTTCTTAATTGGCAACACTATACTTAAGTGCTGTGGTTTTGATTCAGCACACCAACTAACTACAACTTGAATTTCTCAGAGTAAACGGCGAATTCCAATTTCAATCTTAACACTATGAGTTTGGTGAGCCTTAGTGTGTCTTCTCATGCTTCCGTATGGTAAACGGGGAGGAGTCGAGATCATTAACTAAAGTGTGCTGTGCGTGGAGACACAGGCCAAATTAGACCCCAAGGAGCTGTTAACAAACTCCCCCTGAAGTCAATGGAAATTTGCAAACGCAATTGAGAAGGTTCTTGTGGCCCAGAAAGTCTTGCTAATAATTTTGGTAGGTCTTTAAAGTAAATTCACAAGTCAATCTTCTGTCCACAAATTAAACGATAAAAAAAAAATAGAACATCACAAATATGTACCTCTCCAACATCGTAGATCCAAATGCGGCCTTCTGAGTCCCCAACAGCAACTTCCTTGCCACCTTGTGCCCAACGGACACGGTTTAGGGCAGATGCCCCCTCAATGGCCACACTTGCTGTTGGCACCTGCCGAAGGGGTTAATGACACAAAAAGGAATATGAATATAAATATACTAATCTACAGCAGTGTGTTCCTCTCCATGAGTCACAACTGCCTTCCTGTGCACGAAGCCACATCCATCCCCTGCACCAGAGTGAAAGAGTCATTGTTCTAGAATCATACGCTCCACTGACTGGAGGGGTAGGAAGGAGAGAAGAACAGGAAAGGGAAGGAGGGACATTCTTTCCCACAGTAAAGAAAGCCGGTGGTAGACATCTCTGTCCAGATCTCATCAGGTGTTTGTCTAGCTCATGAACATGGTAGCTCCATGCCACACTTGACCATCAGATCCTGTGGGGTACGTCAGGGGGAAAGAGGTCTGTGTTTACATGGACTGAGGACAAAGGGCGAGGGTCTGGGGGGAAACAGTCAGTTACTCAGATGACACGATTCTTCATGAAAACACGAGCAATGCATGCTCTGATATTCAGCCGTTTATCAGCCTCACCAGGGAGTGGAGGATCAGAAGGAAAGAGGTGTCAGGTAGAAAGCTTCAAGGGTCTTAATTCTCCTCTTTCCTCTTTTCACTTTTTCTTTCTTTCTTTCTCCAGGTGGCAATACCACAATAGATACAAAGAGGGTCCATAACTTTGGCCCTGCCCTTACAGTGACAACCCTGTTAAAATGTAGCTATTTATGTGTGCGATCCCTTTAGTAAACACTGGAAACCCAGAAGCACTGAAAACTGGGCTAATAATCACGATTGCAGTGAAGCAGCAGGGCTGAAAGAGAACCTGCAGTCATTTATTTATTTACTGCAAGAACCTTCGTGTGTGGAGGAAGGACTTTGAGTGAACGGAGCCCTCCTCGGTGTGTGTGCTCTGTCTTTAAGCCTGGAGGTTTACAGCTGTTTAGAGCGCCTGGCCTTGTGTAAGGAAATGACAACACACCGTTAAGAAAGAAAATGGTACATGTTAAAAGAGAAAGGGAAAAATGATTAAGAGAGGGCCACTGAGAGCATCTCTTGCCACTGCGATTCACCAACATGGAAACACAACGTGTACTTGTGGCTTAGCACCCCAGCGTTCAGCTGCTCCAAGGATCGAAACCATCTGTTTACATGAAACTCTTGAGCCAATACCTGTCTTTAAAATAGCAATAAAAACTCTATCATATGTAAGAATCTATGCTTAAACTTCATCTTGAAATCAATAAAAATTCTTTTCACCTGTTTAAATCATTGCATGTCAATTGTGAACAAAAATGTAAAATGAAAATCCCCAGCTCATTTTTGAAAACACCAGTTTCTAACCATAAAGGTAGCCTGCTGTGCAAGCTAGAGTCTGAATTTTTAACCAAACCTTGCAAAGAATAAAAACAATGTGAATTTAGATCGACTATAATTCTGTCAATACACTTTATTATTAGTTGTGCTGTCCTGAAAACAAATTCCTGATTCAGCTAGAGAACCTTCAGAGTTTACTTTTAATACTGTAACTTAGAAGGATCATACAGGATTTTCTATGTTCAACATCAGATTTTACCTTGGATAATCTAAAAGCTGAGTAAAATGCTTAATCTTCATATAAACATATCAAAAAATACTCAAAAAAACCCTGACCTTCTCATATAGTTAAAACAATGCCTAACGTGTTTCTAAAGAAATGAGTTTTCTTGAAATGAAAGTCATAAAGCAAGCGAAAGTCTATAATATATTAAAAATGCTTTCTTTTCATAGCTGTTATAAAAAATAGAATAGGGTACCACAGCCTATAGTATATGCTAACAATTAATGAGTGAATAAAGAATGAAATATGTCTGCAATAATCTAAGGGGTAAGAGAAGGTCACGTGTGAACAAACGTGTACTAAAATAATCTGATGTCCTATGCATGTGTCTTGCCTTCAACTTTGATTTCCTAAGTATTCTTGTGTCCTTTTGGAACAATCATTTTAATTGCAAATAAAAGATGTATATAACACAAATTACTAACCAGTAAACGCCAGTCACATCAAAGGTAAATTCAAGCCATTTTTACATAGGAGCATCAGGTACAACTTAGTTGAAAAGTATAATTTGTAGAACAACAAAATAGACTGGGAATTGAGACTCCCTCAGCCTTTTTTTTTTTTAAATAAATCTATTTTCTATTTCCTAATCTGACTTACACCTGAAATATATTGCTCAACTGGCCTGAAGATGAAGATGCCAGGAGGGCTTTAGAAGCATGAGGTCCTGGGTTAGAATCAGACTCTGTGTATTGTTACTGTCACTGTGACGCAGAACCACGTTCACTATAAAACCCAACTGTATGTGTGACCAACCCTGATTTTTTAAATGTTAACCATAAAACTTTTCTGCATTTCTCTCTCGGACACCCAGAGAAAGAGAAGCAATGTCAAAGCAACACTTTCTCTTTCTGTTAAAAAACAAACAAGCAAACAAAACCCCACAAAAGTTAGACGATATGGAGGGCGCAGACACCCCATCCCTTCCTGCGCATTGGAGCCGGGTGTTGTGCAAACATCACCTCAGCTTGGCCTGCTCTCTGATACAGCAAACTCCCGAGTCAATCTGGAAAGCGTTTGTGTTTTGGTTGCTCTGGGTGAGTTTCTCGTGGCAAATAGAAGCAATATGATTTTAATCAACAGTGATGAAAGACTTTGGGAAGCCATTACAACGTAAGGTAATAGCATTTTACTATTAGAAGCAAGGATGTTATAAACATTTCAACATCCCCAATGATGGGTGTCCCACTCAGGCTGTGTGATTGGTTTCAAAGATGCCTCGTTACATAACCTCCCGGCACAGTTCTTGGAGGGAAAAGGGAAAAGGGGCTGTAAGGAAGTACTTTAAGAAGGTCGCTGTTTGGTGATAGGTACAGGGATCTGTGCCCTTAAAGATACCCAGATGCAACACCACCTGATGGAAATTTCCATGCCACCTCCCACCAAAAAAAAAAAAAAAATCCTAGCTTTGTGCGGTCCTCCTTCATGTCCTCCAGCTGTAGGGTCCTTAATTAAAAAGGCCAAACAGCTTCCTGCTCCGAGCACTTCAAAAGACTCCTTTCCCTGACATGTACCTCCTACCATGTGCTCTTTACCTGGACATTTGCATTTACGGAGAGCTCTCTGAACCAAAATCCAAGAAGTGATGCAGTGGACATTTTAGGACACGTTCCCCCCATAAGAACAACAACAGAAAAAAACCCAAATGGCTCTGACTCAGACCCCAGTAATCTTGAGGGACTGAAAAAAAAAAGGAACAAAGCAGATGACATACACTTTAAAAATAATCATTTATCAACTTTTCTAAGAAATAGGCTTTTTTCACATGTGAATGACTTGTTAAAATCGCACCTTAAAAAATTTGTCTTTTGCATACATTTTCAAAGTTAGAAACTACTGCCTTTGAGTTCAATATTGTAGACAAGAAATGTTTCCTTGGTAAAAATTAAATAAATGGATGATCTAAGCAGAAAGCAGTAGAGAAAATCATCTTGTATGGAGTCTAAACAGAAATTGTACAAACACCCAACAGTGACAGAGTAACCAACCCCGTTTCAATAATCCCATCTAAAAACAGCACCAACCACAACTTTCTCTTCCAAGTGTCTGCCAATAAAATTATTTCAACACTATGTGCCCTCTCCCTTGGGAAAAGGTATGAATACACCTTGTGCTGTTTTGTTTGCTTTTTTTTTTTTAAAGTGTGTGTGTGTGTGTGTGTGTGTGTGTGTGTGTGTGCAGTGTCAGTAATTGTCTAAGATTTTCCATAGGTGAGTGATTAAATGACATGGCGTTTTGGGCAATGCATCTGCTGGTGGGTGGGGGTGGGGGCGATGGGCGCAGCCCAGAGGCCATTGGAGGGTCTGCCCACAAAAGGTCGTTTTTTGGCAGCAAGACTGCAGAGTGGTCCCAGTAGCCCCCTCCCAGCCCTGGGCCCGGACGCCTGTGCCGCTCACCTCGGTGTCACTGTTGAGGTTCCAGAGGTCCAAGCGCCCCATCCCGTCCACGCAGGCAAAGAGCGCGGGATGCACAGGGGACCACATGACATCGTACACATAGTCTGCATTGTCTTCAAAGGAGTAGAGCGGCTTGTTGTGCTGTAAAGCAGAGAGACCGTGAAGACTTAGTGGCGCTGCCGCCGCCTCGGGCTGTCTAGAGAGCCTAATTAAAAACTTTGCACATTCACCAAGTGTCATAAAACTTCCCGAGATGAAAGTCCTCGAGAAGGTGAACCGGAGCTTTAATGTGACTACAACTGTCCAGTGGCATAAATAAATCCCGGGGGGTGGGGGATACTCTGAATGGGCCGGGGCCGGACCCGCGGAGTGAGGCGGTTTCAGACACGGTTGTAAGCGACATTCCAGACAGGTGGACGCGACTGCCATTAGCCCGGAATTCTTGCCGGGCCAAGCTGTGCAAGTCGCAGGGAGCCTGAACCCAGCAGTGGTCCGAGGGGCTTGGACCCGCTGGGATGCTCCGAAGTTCGGGCGGTCCCTGGGAGCCCTGGTTCTGCACCGAAGGCAACGTCTGCCACCTCGTGGTCCTCGCTTGTCGCTGCAGCAACGGTGGCCACTTCCAGTCCAACGGCAGGTCAAATTCATATTTTAACTCTTCCTTTGAGGCGAGGAAAGGGAACAAATACCTGTAAGGGGTTTCAGCTTGGGGTTTCAGCTTTTATAGAAAAGTGGGAATCTCGCCATTGGAGATCCTAACCTCCCTAACCTTCAGGGTTAGTTTACCTGAACCAAGTGGAACGACGAAGCTCATTGTAGAACCTCTTAACTTACACAGAAAATATGTCATCCTTTCTAAATCACTAAGGATTTCTAAGACCCCTAAAGTTGATGTTCTGAATGGAAACACTGAACATTCTTCCACTGCATACAAATGCCTCCACTCCAGAGGGATGTAATAAATTAAAATGGCACACTTGATTTCCAGAGAATATTGTCACATCAAAATAGCACAGAAGTCAGAGGCAAGTTTGAAAGTACACCAGAAATAAAACGTAATTGGACTTTATGAATTATTCATTCCATCTGGCTTGTCTTATTCTAATTTCTGCATAATGGCTTTACTAATCCCTGATCAATTAATGTAAAATGAAATTTAAATGATAATGAAAGCCCCAGAGATAAAAGAAATTAACTATTCTTATATCCTCTGACAGAAATCTAAACAATGGGAATTTTCGTCTTCTTCCTCCAGTCAGCTGTCTGTAGTCACTTCTCCGGCTCTGTGGAATGCCTACACAGGCCAGGCTGGTAAGACCAAGAAAGGATAACATACAATATAACAATCAAATCCTTTCTGCTTCGGATATTCAGACACATCTGTAGGGAATCAGCTCCAAATATCAGAGCGAACCACCAATGTGTGCTGCCTCTGCATGCAAAATGTCCACAGTACAGGCTCTGAAACTGAAGTGGGGAAGATCCGGGAAAACCCACAGTTCTTTAACCTAAATATAACGCAACAATTTGTTATGGTAGTAACTACAATTGATTTCTTTCTGTTATTTGCAGTTTCTTGACATTTAAAAGTCACTGGTTTGACGAAAACAAAATTTAGATAGCTTATAGCAACACAGTTTGGGCTAGTGGGGTGTGTGTGTCTCTGTGTGTGTGTTTGTGTGTGTTTGGAGTGTTTCTATAAAAGATAGATGTACCAATTTTTAACTTCAGAAGTATTTGTGAGAGAGTGTAATTTGAAAAACAGTATCTGCCACTGAAACACCAAAAAGGAACAAACTAGACATTTGTCTTATAGTCCTGCATATTATTACTCTGTAATTTTTATATACAAAAATATTCTAAATCTCATGTCTGAAATATGATTAGAAGCCAAAATTATTTGCTTATCGGCTACTTACTTATATCTTCCTCTCAATGTTTGGATTACATAATTCAAACTTTTTCCAGAAAATCCAGGTATCAATTTACTACTCAGTATTATAATTGTATCATTTCCCTTATATATATTAAAAATAATTTTTTTGATCCTTCCCTGACAGATGTGTATATTACATCCTAACTCTTTGCATAAGAAAAAAATGTTACAACAGATTCTCGATCTTCCAGCTGTCTGGTCACTATTTGTTGGAGAGCACAGCACACTTCTTTTAAAGTCAACGATGGCGAAGACAAACGTGTTTTAAGATTCTCGTGTCCTCTCCCGTTCATTCAGTCGATGCACCTAAGCATACAGAACTGTAGATATGTATACAAGTCCAAGCATACAGCAAACACACAACACACCTGCCGTTATTGTTGTGACCAGTGAAAACCCCTCCCAGCTTTAGACAGCCACTCTCCCAGGAGTTGTCACCAGAAGACACAACAATCTCTGTGATAAGCGATTCTGTTCACTTTTATAGTGTGTTTGTTCTTTTTCTTTCTGATATTTTCTTTACTGAGAAGTTCAGGAAAAAGTGGAGTCTGCTCCGGAGACGTCACTTTCGAGACATCTGGAAATAACTTCCCTTCTTTATGCTCCTCACCTCAGTTTTGCCCTGCTCGTCATCTCGACTGAAATGCTATTCTTTTTTGCCTTTCCACAGCTTCTTCACTCCCTTTAACCCCCAAGGCTGAGCCTTCTATTATAAAAGTCACTGTGGAAGTAACGCTTGGCTATGGTAGGTGTGTGCTTGGGAAATGGAAAGAAGGTTCACGTTTTCAAAGACTCTGTTCAACCTTGATGAAGTCATAGGTAGGGAAACTTCCTGAACTCATTGCTATACCATCTGGGCTCCTATCTACAGACCAGTAGGTCCCATGTCCTGCACAGGCATAAAATGCAGGCACAGAAATGCCGCTTGTCCACTAGTACTATTTTGAATCGTAATTACACCTGGTTCAATAAGTTATTTCATCATTCTATTTCATTTTGTCTCCAAGGATAACATTATTAACGATCTGCCTCAAATACTTAATGTATTAAAATGTATGTTAAGCATTAAATATCATGAAATATATTAACATTTTCATAAAAGACCTTGAAAGCATCTATTCCCAAGCACACTGCTTTTGAGTTGGCGAAACATAAATTTCAGAGCTCACAAACTTTTTATGACTTACTAGGGCATCGGTTTTGGTTTTAGAATACCACAGACTGTGAAAAGACGGTATGAGAACTAACATTGCCAATGTTGAGGAGGAGTCTCATGCTATCCTTGGTGTGTGTCAAAGTCACTGGGGCTTCACGATTTTAAACAATTCTCTAGAAAATACCTGAGGTCGTTTATTTAACTAAATATTGCTGCACAGTGTGTTGCCATAAAAAGTGTTTGGCAAAGCAGTCAGATTTCACTAGACAAAAACCCCTTCACCTGTGTGTTTCTCTTTCAAATGGCAAGCTTAGCATTACCAATGTGCCAATAAAAGGAGAAGGGAAGTGTCACCCACAGCCTGTGCATGTGTGGCACATGCCACTGAACTGAAACCTCAACCCACTGGGTTTCTCTGGGTCTCCAGGTGTCCCATTCCAACACAGCACATGAAGCTACGCAGCCCAGCTTGCTTCTAATTGTCTGATGTTCAAACAAAGCAGAGTGGCCGACTAGCACAGGCTGGTGTGGAGGGCAGGAAAGGAGGTTTTCTGTGGACCAGGCTCCGCACACATTGTCTGACTTAATCCGCATAAAATTTCTGTAAGGTAGATGGTGTTTATGGAAAAGAAAATTATAGCCCAGGAAAGTAAGTAGGCTGTGGAGGAGGGGAGGTCGCTTTTGGTCTCGGGATTTTTAGCTGTTAAGCACATCCTCTGTTTGCGAGCCCCCTGGGGCCCTTCTACCTCGTCTTCAGTCTTTACACACACACACACACACACACACACACACACACACACGCACACACACACACACACACATGCACGCGAACACACAAACGCAAGTAATAACAACAAATCTGTTCTCCTGCTTTTTACCTCCCCACGCAATTCAAGCACTATTTACTAAGTGCACACTAAATGAGGTGTACAAATAGTTAATATCACTGGCTGCTTTTTTCCCTATCGCAGTTATTAATATTATTGAGTATATCGCCCACACTTCTGAGGAGTGTTTTGGGGAGAAAAGAACATTCTCTCTTCCATGCTATGACCAGGATGGAAACTGTTCTTTAGCCAGGATAGCACAGCAAGAATCCAAAGAGCAAGAGGACAAAGACTCGATCCAGTTCTCTGACTGGGGGCCTCTGGTGAAGACTACGAGGACAGCAGCAGAAAGACGGGAGTAGCAAAGCTAGGGCCAGTCATGAGAGATGGGGGGGAAACCATAGCATTTGGGCAGTTCACCTCGTGTTTCTGAGTGTCAGTTTTCTGGTGTGTAACCTGGAAAGACAGTGCGCTGATTGCTGGGTTCTCTGTGATCCTAGGACGGTTTTTGCCATGTGCCGTGGTACTCAGCAGCAAAGATGGAATGAAACAGAGAATACAGAAAAGTTTGTTTTTCTAAAAGACTGTTCAGTGGTACATATTATTACAGAATCCATTTTACTTGGTGTTCCTAGAATTTGAATCATGAGTTTACAAAAAAATTTAAACAATTTTAAATGCTTTCCAAACTTTGCAACTTAGTAAAATAATAATGTAAAACTGAGAAATTGAAAATAATGGAAGTAGGTAGTAATAGCTTTTCTCATTGATCAACTGAAAAAGAAGAAATACAGAATTGGTGTTAGAGAGTTGGAAGAGTGAAATCTATTTAAGAAACAAAACCTCCCAGTATGCAGCATTCTGCAGTGACCACTTGAAAACCAGGCTATGCTGTAGAGCCTACTCGGAACAACCAGGAGACCCGGCCGCTCTCCAACTTGCTAACTCAGAAACCATTTCCTGTTCTTGACACAGGCTGAGATGACAGAGACCAAAATGGCCATTTTCCTCCGTGTCCTTTGTCTTCCTCATTTATGGGGGACCTACAAGCATCCCAACAGAATTTAGTGTTCTGAAGGGTGGGGGATAGAAAGATTTGTGCTACAATATTCCCCAGTGGCCTCAAACACCATGAGTGGTTATTGAGGTTGGGCTAGTCTAAATGACGAACTTTCCAAGCAGACATAGAGATGTGTGCCTGACCTGGAAATGCTTCTTTTGTGGG